GCAGAAAAGTGGCAATGCACAACTGTGTGGCAGTCCGCAGCATCGTGGGGCACTGTGTGTGAACAGACAGACGTATAACACAAGAAGGTGGAGTGATCATATGTCACTATATTGACATAATGCATATCATGTGATTGTATAAATTCGGAAACTGTAAACGAGTACAGTGAAATTGTCCAGGTAAACAAATTCCCAGATTTACGACTACTGGGTTCCTGGAATTGTCTACTTCAAATTATCAGACTTTCCCAATCATGATCGTAATTGAACTCTGAACCAACAAGGTTTTCACTGTACATATAGATGTGGAGCTTAGTGTCAGTTGGTGAGAATGACATCGCCCTTATAACATAGGTGTAACGTCGTGTTCGTACATATAGATGTGGAGCTTAGTGTCAGTTGGTGAGAATGACATCGCCCTTATAACATAGGTGTAACGTCGTGTTCGTACATATAGATGTGGAGCTTAGTGTCAGTTGGTGAGAATGACATCGCCCTTATAACATAGGTGTAACGTCGTGTTCGTACATATAGATGTGGAGCTTAGTGTCAGTTGGTGAGAATGACATCGCCCTTATAACATAGGTGTAACGTCGTGTTCGTACATATAGATGTGGAGCTTAGTGTCAGTTGGTGAGAATGACATCGCCCTTATAACATAGGTGTAACGTCGTGTTCGTACATATAGATGTGGAGCTTAGTGTCAGTTGGTGAGAATGACATCGCCCTTATAACATAGGTGTAACGTCGTGTTCGTACATATAGATGTGGAGCTTAGTGTCAGTTGGTGAGAATGACATCGCCCTTATAACATAGGTGTAACGTCGTGTTCGTACATATAGATGTGGAGCTTAGTGTCAGTTAGTGAGAATGACATCGCCCTTATAACATAGGTGTAACGTCGTGTTCGTACATATAGATGTGGAGCTTAGTGTCAGTTGGTGAGAATGACATCGCCCTTATAACATAGGTGTAACGTCGTGTTCGTACATATAGATGTGGAGCTTAGTGTCAGTTAGTGAGAATGACATCGCCCTTATAACATAGGTGTAACGTCGTGTTCGTACATATAGATGTGGAGCTTAGTGTCAGTTGGTGAGAATGACATCGCCCTTATAACATAGGTGTAACGTCGTGTTCGTACATATAGATGTGGAGCTTAGTGTCAGTTGGTGAGAATGACATCGCCCTTATAACATAGGTGTAACGTCGTGTTCGTACATATAGATGTGGAGCTTAGTGTCAGTTGGTGAGAATGACATCGCCCTTATAACATAGGTGTAACGTCGTGTTCGTAAGGTGATTGCTATCTCCCTTAAACGTTTTGATTACCGCTCAAGGAAACGTTTCTCACGTAAGAGCACGATGAAGGCGGCAAAAAGAAAGAAGTCACAGCAATTGACTTAATACAAAGTGGCACTGAGGAAAACATTGGACGAGGGATATGAAGTGGAAGTGGCTTACCCTGTTTATATTTTCAATATGCTGCCACACAACGAGCTGTTCTCACTCCACGTACTACCTGAGTCTCTGTGAAGCAAATTCACTCTGTATATAGATATACACAGAGTGACGTGTTAAACAGAGGAAGTTAGTTAGTAAGGATGTAAAACAAATGTGGGTTATCTTCTTTGTGAATACCGCCATGTGTTATCTGTATAGTCTTTTTGTTCACACTTCGATGGATTCACTTTATGGAGTAAGTTGGTAACTAAGGATGTAAGTTGATCTGGAATATAGTATGTTATTTTTAACGGTTATGGCAGGTTTCAATGCATTTTTACAATGATACAAAGGAGGAATTGCATCTTCCGCTGACTCATTATTATCTTATTTCGAACTTCCATGTGACACGTCCAATAAACACGTGTACACTTACAACTGTGTGACAACTTATTAATAATAAAAGAGAAGACACGTATTGCTTGTTGAGAATTGATTAATCAAACAGGAACATATGAAATGCATACAGGGCGAAGAAAAGAAAAGGGAAATAAAATTGAATTACGAAACTTACTGCCGCATTTATATTCTTATTTAATTTGAGTAAGGGACCGACCCTGTGGTATTATTATTGTTATTTGTTCAATTTGAAACCTTCTAGTTTATTACTTGCATAACATGCAACGCAATTGAAGTTAAGACCTTTACCCACATAATCTTTCCCTTTTCATGATGATTAATTTGGCTTGACGTCTTCGGGAAAAAAAGAGTTACTGCAAACAAACAAACCTTGTGCTTTACGCCAGGATATTCCGATCATCCGTACATTTATGTTGATGTGATAATGCAACAATCTTACATGGATTTAAAAGGGAGTTGTTCAGTGGATGGCATGATCACGAGGAATTAGATAAACTAGGCGTGTCAAGTCACACCATTCCGCGTTCTCTTGTAAGTGGTATGGGAAAATGTATTTAAGTGCAGGGATGGCCCGGGAGGTCAAGGCACCTTAAGTGAAGTTCATTCCCCCTTATTCTGCTTGAAGGCTGCTAGAATAAGTGTCGAGCTGACACATGAACGATGACACAGAAAGCGTTAGTATGAAGAGTTATTGCCAGTTCTTTATTCTTAAAACAATAATGACGCTACATCAAAGGCGAAATCTCCAAAGTCTCTCTGATTGTGAGAAGTCTGTGTACATGTCCCAGTAATAAATATCAGAATCAGTTGTTCGGACAACCGCAGTCATAGATTATATGTGCGATGAGATACATAACAGCTGCAATTGGATGATATTGTGTAAGACTTATATGTTTTGTTTAAATGTACATCCATCCAGTAGTTAAAACTGACCATTTTTTATTTCAATATTTAGTTCTGCCTTATTTAAGATGATAACTTATGATGAGTATGCTTTTCCATTCCTAACCAATCTGATTACAAAGTCAAATAGGTAAGTCGTAAACATATTCTGTAATGATGACATTCCCAAAGACATAACACAAATGTAAAAGCCACTACAGTTTGAGATTAGTTGTCCGAAGAGTAACGAAGGTGTCCCGCGCTGTAAAACAGCTTGCGGCAATGGGATAAAGTGTGTAACCATTGCTACACAGACTGTCAAGGGAAACAACAACTGTCCTAACGCATCAGAGATGTCATGTATACCCGTTGTCTGTGGTAGTAGAGTTATGAGATCGCTCTTGTTTTAAAAATGTTCAGCAGCGACGGACACCTGGTTTATGGATAACATGGTTTATGGATAACACGGTAACAAATATTTTAACTCAGTTCTAGCCAAATTGTTCCTGTTTTGTGAAAGTCACCTTATTCCTTTACTACGACATATATTGATGCAGGGGAGTCCATCATAAGTCTACAAAATCTCATTGTTGCTACATTACAAGGTGAGATCCTTACACAGTGCAATAGTCGTCCTTATAGAAACCATGTAATGTTATCCTTCCGCAAGAAGCAAAATCGTTGATTACATTTTAAGGAGGAGGTTAAAGGCTTGGGTCTGGTAAAAAAAAGGTATTCCTAACTCCCAAATCCTTTATTGTGAAAGTGTTGACATCTCAAAGAAGCCCAGATAATCTCTGCTAGGATTGTTTGAGTTGCTGATGATGAAATCTAGTCTTGCCACACAAATGATACACTTTGGACAGTTGAGTTGTTTGGTTGCTACTGGTGGAATCTAGACTTACCAAACATGATACACTTTGGATATTTGTCTTGTCATTGCTACTGATGAAATCCAGATATACACTTTTGATATTTGTGCTGTTATAGTTACTGATGAAATCTAGACATGCTAAAACATGATACACTTTGGATATTTATCAATGTTATTTAAATACCCACACTCCTTTAAACGAGAAAGGCAGTCGCCACTCGGTTTTGACTTATGTCTTACGGAGTTTTCGCTAACCGATTATCTTGCACTGGTCGAAATGGAAATTGGAATTAGTGCATTTCAATGTTGTTTTAATTTAATACAATCTCATATTAAGGTGTTTTGGTTGGCGGTTTTACTTAATGTGTCAGAAGAAATGTTTTGCTCCTGTGCATGATGTTTAATATTTGTACAGTAGTCTGTGCATATATTTACGTAGAAGGCTTGTTCGGAAAATAAGGTGTTTGCAGTGACATATACAATACATCTATATACAATACATCTGATGGATTCTTACTTAAAATGTTAACGGCTAGTTTTTGTACTGATAAGTGTTTCTGATGCATACACATCAAGAGTAGAGCGATAGGCCAAATATAATATATTTAGATAATACAATTCATATCCGATATGTTGCTTTTACTTCTGGTCAGTGACATCCGGAAAAAGAATCAGAATCAGATCTAGTTATTTTTAAATATTCGGAAATCAAAACAGTTGATCAAAACATTTATCATAAAATGGGTAGGTTTCTCTGTGGGATAAAGCCAAAGGATACAAACGATTTCTGTTGGGGTCATATGCGGATAGAGATGCAAGTATCAAAGGTCAAGTAGGGACTACTTTCACTGTTTATAAACAAACATGGCCTCGCCCTTGTCATTTGGCGATCGAGTCAGAATTAACCATCGGGAATCTGGAGAAACTACTGGGATAATTGCTATCATTATCAAAAGAACTGTCTAATATACTGAAAATCAGTGTCTAACTGTGACATAGCTAAGGCATTTTACAAGTTTGGGCAACTTTGGAGACATAAATTGCGAAACAATTTTGCAAACGCACTAGTCCTGGCCAAGCGGGATCAGTAGCCATATCTGTGCTTGTAGACATCTGCATTTATCTTGGCACCATGATCACAATTCAACACTTTCATGGAACGCTAATAGTACATGTGTAATCTACAAGAAAAGACGAAAGACGTTTATACGAAACATTTTAAGATCTGAATTTCACGCTTTGCTGGTATGGGACGCCAACGAATCCTCAGCTGCATTTATTGTAAGCAGCAAATACCATTTGCAAAAAAATAACAACAATAAATAAACATAAATGAAATAGTTTATTCTCAGAACTATTATAATTGAATAATTGAACAACTTACCACATGCTTTAAGACGTAAAACATATTAACAGAAACATAAAACAACGGCGCCAGAGAATAATCAGTCTCGGTTATCAATATCGATTAACACTGGGCGTAAATAGCAAAATAGTGGTCAAAATTATATGAATGGACAAATGTAACTGTAACGAAATAATAATAAACCCAATGTTGCGATCTTGTGATCGCACATGTAAGTAAATGCTCCATACCAGATTCGCCATGGATCACATTCAGGGCCAGTCTGACTGCACCAGATATAATTGAAACATATTGCAAATTACTTATGTTCAATGTGACCAAACTCATGTTGTCCTTTGCGAATTTCAGTTTCAAGTGAACATCTGATATATCGCTATCCTCCAATCGTCTCCACACATGGTACCGTTGTCTCCGGTACAAGGACGCGAACACTGTGAGTCTGCGACCTTCGCATGTCCAGGTTGGATGACGGCATCACAAAAACATTCCTCCCCTACCTGAAGAATAAATGAAAATAGCTGCTACATTCTGTCCATAGCGGAAGCAGCACCATCCATAATATTTCCCGAACATTCCCGTAAATATATGCACAGACTACTGTACAAATATTAAACATCAGGCACAGGAGCAAAACATTTCTTTTGTAACAATTTAGCCTTCCTCAAATCAGAAGACAACGGACTAAAGTCGGCACGTATTTATCTATGATGGTTATCTAATGCAGTACAATCAGAATCGGCCCGACTCCATGTATGTAGTTACACAAGAACCTTTTACATCAGCGATTCCGGAAACACATGTTAAATTAACTTTAAAACTGAAAGTTTTGTGACTCTTGTTTTCTTAAAAACACTTATTTGCACTTCATGGTTATCGACATGTGCCCCTTAACGCCAATGACGCCGTTTGACGACCGAAGAAGTAAGCAGATACATAGGTGTGCTTGAAACTGGGTCAATGCAATGTCACATTGCAAAGGTCTTTTGGCGTAAGCCAAAATGTGATCAACCAGACGTGTGGAACAGCTACCCCACCGACATGCAGGTGGTCGACAGCGTTCCACCACACAGCGGGAAGACAGTTTTTTTCAAATGCGTCAACATTTCTACTGAGACAGTGCGTAATCGTCTCTGTGAGGCTGTTCTCCAGTCATGCACCCCACTGACCCCACATCAATGTAGGCACGTTTGGATCTGACTGGGCTCCAGTACTTTTCACAGACGAATCGAGATACTGTCTAAACTTCACAGATAGTCGTGCCCGGCCCCGCTATGGAGAAGGCGTAATCATGATTTGGGGTGGGATTAGTTGAGCTGAAAGAACCGACCTCTATTTTCTACAGCGGAGCACGACAGGAGGGCCAAACAGGCATGATGTACGTGATACCGTATGCTCTCTTTCACCACCTCTTTCACCAGACCTCAACCCTATCGGACACATTTTTAACGAGCTGAAGATCACCCTCTCACGACGTCCTGTCCTTCCGATAAACTACAGGAATTCTTACTGTAGAGTGGAGCATTCTTCCCATAGCAACCATCCGGACACTAATTGGACGCATGAGACGACGCCAGGCTGTGAATGCATCACGTGGACCACATACGCGTAACTGAGAGTTGTTGTTTTGCACAATGAATTTCTTTTCGTGATTTCTTGACGTTTCAGTTTTGGTCAGACACTCTCTTTTAGACGGGTGCTTTGACTGATTATTGGTCACCCATTGTGTGGGTCATGACAACATGTCAGCACACAATATTGTCTTTGTCTTTGTCTATATCAACAGATGCACACAATATTGGCTTTTTCTACTTCAACAGATGCACACAATGCGATGTATTACGTTTTAAAGTGGTGATCTTTAGAAAAATGTGAGTAGTTTATTTAAAAAACAACGTTAATCAGCCCATTTTATGATCAAACTAATATTTCACCCATATCACAGCGTAAGACATCAATACTATTGAGGGCTTTACACCGTATTACACCCCTCTCAAGTTTCGATCCGTCGAGGAGCAAGCACTGAATGACTGACGTGATATTATTTCTACTCAAATTGAAGTCATTTAGTGTTATTAGGAGACAATTGCAGGTAAGATACTCAGTGGAATCAATGTCCAAACTAGAGGTAATCAAATCGTTCACTGTGTACCTGTAGGTGCAGTGAAATAATGAACAAAGGAAGGGTATTTAAATTATGAAACGCAAATTGATTTTTATGGAGAAATATTGCTTCATTAGCAATCACGAAAAATGAAAGATTAAATCAGACAAATGTGAAAGATCTTTTATCAGGTTGTGTTGTATGAAAAGTTTACCACCAGAATAACTAAGAATTCAACCAGGGTCCTCCATATTCACTAATATGTGACATTGTAACTATTGGGTTTAAACTTGGGTTCAGTGGGTCTTTTGCCAATTCATGTTCCTTTGCCTGGCTGTATTCAACACCAATAGTTTTACCTTTAACTACAATGAAACCCAGTTGATCGGGATTATATCTTCTCAGTGACGGATTTGCAAGTATGCAGAGTAATAAGCCATGATGGAGTAATGTTATGTATGTATGTAATAGTCGGATGTTTCATTTTAAAGCATCACACAACAACTACCTCCATTGTAAAGGTATCACACAACAACTTCCACCATTGTAAAGTTATCACAAAACAACTACCTCCATTCTAAAGTTATCACACAACAACTACCTCCATTCTAAAGTTATCACACAACACCTACATGTACCTCCATTCTAAAGTTATTACACAACACCTACATCCATTGTAAAGTTATCACACAACTACTACCTCCATTCTAAAGTTATCACACAACAACTACCTCCATTCTAAAGTTATCACACAACAAGGACATCCATTCTAAAGTTATCACACAACTACCTCCATTGTGAAGTTACCACACAACAACTACCTCCACTGTGTAGTTATCACACAACTACCTCCATTGTAAAGTTATCACATAACACCTGACCTCCGTTCTAAAGTTTTCACACAACACCTACCTCCATCGTAAAGTTATCACACAACACCTACCTCTATTGTAAAGTTATCACACAACACCTACCTCCATTGTAAAGTTATCACACAACTACCTCCGTTGTAAAGTTACCACACAACAACTACCTCCATTGTAAAGTTATCACACAACACCTACCTCTATTGTAAGGTTATCACACAACAACTACCTCCATTGTAAAGTTATCACACAACAACTTACCTAAATTGTAAAGTTACCACACAACAACTACCTCCATTGTAAAGTTATCACACAACACCTACCTCTATTGTAAAGTTATCACACAACAAGTACCTCCATTGTAAAGCTATCACACAACTACCTCCATTGTAAAGTTACCACACAACAACTACCTCCATTGTAAAGTTATCACACAACACCTTAACTAAATTGTAAAGTTATCATACAACACCTACCTCTATAGTAAAGTTATCACACAACAACTACCTCCATTGTAAAGTTATCACACAACTACCTCCATTGTAAAGTTACCACACAACTACCTCCATTGTAAAGATATCACACAACAGCTACCTCCATTCTAAACATACCACACAACACCTACCTCCATTGTAAAGATATCACACAACTACCTCCATTGTAAAGTTACCACACAACTACCTCCATTGTAAGATATCACACAACTACCTCCATTGTAAAGTTATCACACAACTACCTCCATTGTAAAGATATCACACAACTACCCCCATTGTAAAGTTACCACACAACTACCTCCATTGTAAAGATATCACACAACTACCTCCATTATAAAGTTATCACACAACACCTACCTCTATAGTAAAGTTACCACACAACAACTACCTCCATTGTAAAGATATCACACAACAGCTACCTCCATTCTAAACATACCACACAACACCTACCTCCATTGTAAAGATATCACACAACTACCTCCATAGTAAAGTTACCACACAACTACCTCCATTGTAAAGATATCACACAACTACCTCCATTGTAAAATTATCAAACAACACCTTACCTCCATTGTAAAGTTATCACACAACACCTACATCTAAAGTAAAGTTATCACACAACAACTACCTCCATTGTAACGTTATCACACAACTACCTCCATTGTAAACTTACCACACAACAACTACCTCCATTGTAAAGATATCACACAACAGCTACCTCGATTCTAAAGATACCACACAACAACTACCTCCATTATAAAGATATCATACAACACCTACCTCCATTGTAAAGTTATCACTCAACTACCTCCATTGTAAAGATATCACACAACAACTACCTCCATTATAAAGATATCACACAACAGTTACCTCCATTCTAAACATACCACACAACAACTACCTCGCTTGTAAAGATATCACACAACAACTACCTCCATTGTAAAGTTATCACACAACACCTTACCTCCATTGTAAAGTTACGCCACAACAACTACCTCTCTTCTAAAAATACCACACAGCACCTTACTTCCATTGTGAAGTTATCACACAACAACTACCTCCATTGTAGAGATATCACACAACTACCTCCATTGTAACGTTATCACACAACAACTACCTCCATTGTAAAGTTACCACACAACTACTACTTCCATTGTAAAGTTACCACACAACAACTACCTCCATTGTAACGTTATCACACAACTACCTCCATTGTAAAGTTACCACACAACAACTGCCTCCATTGAAAAGTTACCACACAACAACTACGTCCCTTCTAAAGTTACCACACAGCACCTTACCTTCATTGTGAAGTTATCACATAACAAGTACCTCCATTGTAGAGATATCACACAACTACCTCCATTGTAAAGTTACCACACAACAACTACCTCCACTGTGTAGTTATCACACAACTACCTCCATTGTAAAGTTATCACATAACACCTTACCTCCGTTATCACACAACACCTACATGTACCTCCATTGTAAAGTTATCACACAACTACCTCCATTGTAAAGTTACCACTCAGCACCTTACCTCCATTGTAAAGTTACCACACAACTACCTCCATTGTAAAGTTATCACACAGCACCTACCCCCATTGTAAAGTTATCACACAAAAACCTCCATTGTAAAGTCATCACACAGCACCTTACCGCCATTGTAAAGTTGTCACACAGCACCTCCCTCCATTGTAAAGTTGTCAAACAGCACCTTACCGCCATTGTAAATTTGTCACACAGCACCTACCTCCATTGTAAAGTTGTCACACAGCACCTACCTCCATTGTAAAGTTATCACACAGCACCTTACCGCCATTTTAAAGCTGTCACACAGCACCTACCTCCATTGTAAAGTTGTCACACAGCACTTACCTACATTGTAAAGTTACCACACAACTACCTCCAGTGTAAAGTTGTCACACAGCACCTTACCGCCATTGTAAAGTTATCACACAACTACCTCCATTGTAAAGTTGTCACACAGCACCTACCTCCATTGTAATGTTGTCACACAACTACCTCCATTGTAAAGATGTCACACAGCACCTACCTCCATTGTAAAGTTATCACACAACTACCTCCATTGTAAAGATGTCACACAGCACCTACCTCCATTGTAAAGTTGTCACACAGCACCTAGCTCCATTGTAAAGTTGTCACACAGCACCTTACCGCCATTTTAAAGTTATCACACAACTACCTCCATTGTAAAGTTGTCACACAGCACCTACCTCCATTGTAAAGTTGTCACACAGCAACTACCTCCAGTCCAAAGAAGGTCATGTTGTGATTGAGACAGAACATCCAACACAACTCGGGCTTCATTTCAGATGATGTCACAGATACAGCGCTAAGTGCCCGGTCCCAGTCATCGATGTAGCAGCCTCTGTATGTGTACGGATCTGGAGACAAGAAGTGAGTAGGAGTGACTATCAAGGGAGGTTCAAAACAATTTTGCCACAGTTTGATAATGATAAAAATATGGGTGCTTATTTTGCGCTAGCCCCATACACTCGCGTACTACCAAACGACGTTAAACGTTGGTTCTTGCCGGCACCATGCTTGGCACTCGGCATTAAAGGTCATAAAACAAGGACTGCTCCGCTCGGTAGCAGTACAATGAGTCTGAGTTGGGTATTAAACTCTGAAAGCTATCCTTGTTTGCGTGCGTGCGTGTTTGTACAAAATCAAGTCTGGACCAAGCAATCTAGTGAGCAACGATCCACGCTGTAGTTATTATTTATTTGTTTTAGTTTACAAAGACGTGCAAACAACTAAATCACCAAGTCAGACCACCCGATCCAATTACTCGTCATTTACGACCAGCATAGTTTGCTAGGGTCTATAATAAACCGGTTACTCATCGGGGACTAAGTGAAAAACTCAGAAACGCTACGTTTAAAGTCACCTCTTAATGAATACCCAACGAATTTAAAAGCAAGGTCAGTTTTGGATCAAAACGACTGCAAGCTATAACGAGTTGGATTAAATGCGCATTGAACAGGATTTCAGTCATACCAGGGCTTGTCAGAATATTGTGGGAGAAACAAAATGTAATGTTAACTGTGTTGATCTTGAAATGTCTGGATGAATTATTGTAGTACCTGTGTGAGTAGCTGTAGTTGATGCAATAGTTGTAGTAGCTGTAGCAGACATAGTGGTTGCAGTAGCTGTAGTCGGCCCAGCAGTTGTGTTAACATTCGTTGATGCAGCAGTTGTAGTAGCTGCAGTTGTTGTAGTAGCTACATCCGCCATTGTGGTTGTAGTAGCAGCAGTTGTTATAGTAGTTGCAGTTGATGTCGGCGCAGTACTTGTAGTAGCTGTGGTGACTGTGGGCGCCAGGGTAGATGCAGTGTTTACAGATGTTGCGGTGGACGCTTGAGGGGCCGACGTGTCAGTAGACGTTGGTGAAAGCGCACAGATGTAAGTAGTCCCTCCTTCAACAGGGAAGCAAATCTCCTCTCCCCCACAAGGGCTACTGGCGCACATTCCTGTATATACCACCTGTGGGTGAAGGTAAGAGAATTTGTTTCATGATTGGTGAAATGTAGATGGTTCACTTTAAACTTTTATTATGGATACATAATACTACATACCTTTAAAGTACATACGACACAGAATAATACCTGAAGTGATGGAAAACATAATTACATTTATTAGATTAGGAAAGCGAAAAATTATGATAATTTCCAATAACATACGGTTGAAACGGCATATTCACACTGACAGGTACGTACAATATTTTATTGTAAAGATGAAGATAAAGTCAGTGTGTGTTTTATGCAGAAACAAGGCTTTTTATCAGCCACACATTTCAATTGTCATTTGTTTCCTTGGACGTAGGCCCATCCAGTGGACTAAAGACGTTTACCTTAATCTGAGGAAAGACGCTTCTGATGCTTGGCTGTTGTGAATGGAGGTGACATCTCCTTGGTTGAACACCCCAGGTGTAAGAGACACACTTTGTGGTATACTTGCACAGAGTCTCACACACCAGGGACGATGGCACCACGGTGGTAAGGAACGCATTTGACCCCGAGCTACTAACTTGATCAGTGGCCAGAATCCATAAACTATAGAACAAGTGAGGCAAAGTCGTCAAATACCTCATTGTCGCTGTCCTGTCTTAGGCTGTCTGCAGATGAGTGAGACAATGCAGTCTTCGTTGGAAAAAAATGATCAGATTAATATTGTATAGGTTGCCATAGAAAAGATAAAAATATCCCGATCAAGAGTGGAGTAGTATATGTGCTACTGGTTATTGAGCCAGACAGTGTGAGAATAGCTGCACACCTGCCTGATCGCAAAGTATCACTTTCAGTACAGTAATGATATATAGCAGACGAAATAATGATGGTGAGGTTTTGATCAATCGACAAAGTTCTGTCAACAGTGAAGACGTGCAATTAATTCTTAATGTTATAGATTTCTCAGAATCATTTTTCAAACAGTGACAATGACAATCCTTCATAACCTGAAGATTATTTGGACACGTGAAAGGGCGAACAGATTAAACAAATTGTTTGACATACACAACAGAAATGGAAGCCATAAAGGTTGAAGCAGGACAGGGATTAACAATCATTTAAAAGACGGGTGCTTGTTGGGATATAACATCTTGGAGCTCTGTTTATTTTAAAACATGGCAAAATGTATTGTCGATCAGAAGGTAAGAGTGTACATTGATTACTTGAAGAGTTGTCTGGATCAGTTACAATTTTATGAGATACGGTCAGAACACATGTGTCATATTAAATATATACATGGTGAGAAACTCCGGCAAGTTTGTGAAGACAAAATTTATTACGAAGTGACAAAGCTCTCTACCAAACACGACAGGGGAAACGATAAAACGCTTGAAACAACACATTGATAAAAAAAGAGACAATAATTTGGCTGATATTTAAAGATCTTGATTTGTGCATAAAATGAAGTATTTGTAAACGTTTCTTTTTTATAAAACAGTACCTGTGTTCACATTCCAGTTTGTTGTCCATTAATGATCCCAGATTCCTACAGGGATCCACAATCGTGTTGTTGATACTGACAGGTGTTAAGTCGTCTTTGTATGTCTAAAGTCAGTGATGATTTAGTTTGTCTTGCATAAAACACGAGATAATTCTCTTCACGCCACCTTGTTCAGTCCGTTATTCCGTCTCTGTAGTTCGCTCAGGAGATTGCTTATATTCTCTCATTAAGCCAGGCAAAGCTGCATTGTCAGCAATCTTAACAGTGAGTCAGTGATGTTGGTGAGTGAGTTAAAAGCATTTTTCCATCGACAAAATGACTAAAACAAGTTAAACCTTAATACTAAGTAGATTGAAACCATATAAAAACCCGTTGTAATGGACAGTAAAGAGTATCACAGATGTCTATTTAAAGCTAGTATGCAAGCATTAAATATGACTATTGATATCAATGCATTATCATTATCACCAGCAACCAAAGTTAGGCCACCGTACTAAGAGCCATGGGGATTAAGGCCTTGTAAATAAATCTGCCGAAGAGCCGAAGAAGGCGGAAAATAGGGGAGCAGAGAGAACACGTTACACAGTAAAAGTAACATGCAAAGTCACCCGTGAAGATCCGATGTTGAATAGGTCTTCAGCAACTCATGCTTGTTCGTAAAGGCGACTATGCTTATCGTAAGAGGCGACTAACGAGATCGGGTGGTCAGGCACGCTGACTCGATTGATGCTTGTCTTTCATATTCCAATTGCGTAGATCAACGCTCATGTTGTCGATCACTGGATTGTCTCGTTCAGACTCGATTATTTAGAGACCGCCGTCATATAGCGGGACTATTGCTGAATGCGGCGGTAAACAAACAAACAATCAATCGAACAAAACATGCAAAGTAAGTCACACTGCAAGTGTACTGGGCTGCCTCACAACGATTGAAGGTCCTCCAGTGGCCCTATCACACGGAGACAAAGCATGGTATGCAATAGACTGACGCCAGTTAAATTGATCTGTCTGCTTTGTTGTTTCTTGTGGACAGAATGGTGAAGGTTTAAAATACTTGACTAATAACTTCACCCCTCTACAATTTCATTGTACAAGGGTTTTGATTGAAACTAGATCTATGGTTGATTGATTGAGATCTGCCCTTCCCCTTCATTGGGGGCGACACGCTATATGCCCATGTCCTCAAGGGCTACAAACTTATTCAACATTTTAAGCTGGTTATCTGTTCCTTTTGAGGCTCTGCCACTTTAAAACTTTTTGACAGATTCTTTTTCAGGTTTGAGTTTTTTTCAATTTGTTTCACATTGATATATTGTGGATATGAATAACTATCCATTCATGAACAATAATGGCTCGTATTAACAATAGAGTGACGCCACATATGTTTTAAGAAACAACAACGTTCCAATGTGTCACTGGTCGATATATTGGGCCCATAATGAAGTCACTTACTTAAGTTGGATTCAATGAAATACTGCTAATCAAATATGCACCAAGCCCTTTTGTTGGCCCACTAATAAGCAGTATTAAGTCCTGGTAATATTGTTCATGGTATTGGTTTTGTGCATGTAGAGTTCGCAATTTCACTATGATCAATACATTCACTGTAATGAAGTTATTAATGAATTATGACATTTATCGATCGTTAATTCCACCATGACACTGAAGAATGCTTGATTGTTCAAAATCAGGTATCTAAATGCCCTTTCACACAAAATGTATATAAACTATGGTGGCCGAGAGGGGACATCGCTTTCTCGCGGTAAAGCAATATCCCCTCTTGACCACGATAGGGGCCGCATGTGCTATCTGCTTCATTTGGGAGGGAATGTTGAACTTTTCTCACTATTTACTTGAAACATAATTTAACTGTACAGACGTAGGTGAATTTAAAACAATCCACGGAGTTTTGCGTAAAATGAAATTGATTGATTTACGGTCCTACAACACATATGGAGAGACATACTAATTGATGTGGCCACATAGTTAACGTTGATAACAATATGAAGTGCATTACTGTGATTATCTATAACATATGTTAAATCAGCTATCATTGTAAGGTTTTATGTATATATCTTAAGTATAGTTTTGTCAAAATTATGTGTGCGTGTGTGTGTGTTTGTGTTATGTACATGTATGTATATGTAACATATTTATCTGCTACAAGAGTTCAAAAAATATTATAATAAGAGGCAAAATAGCGGTGGTAATTATAGGAATGGATCACTGAATATCAGCAAAAACCGTTTTAATGTACGCCATTATGGGAAATGTCGCATTCTCGCTCTATCGCTTTATCGCTGTATCGCTGTATCGCTTTCTCGCACTATCGCTTTCTCGCTGTATCGCTTTCTCGCACTATCGCTTTCTCGCTCTGTCGCTTTCTCGCTCTATCGCTTTCTCGCACTATCGCTTTCTCGCTGTATTGCTGTATCGCTTTCTCGCACTATCGCTTTCTCGCTGTATCGCTGTATCGCACTATCGCTTTCCCGCTGTATCGCTTTCTCGCACTATCGCTTTCCCGCTGTATCGCTTTCTCGCACTATCGCTTTCTCGCTCTGTCGCTTTCTCGCTCTATCGCTTGCTCTAATGACTAACCATAGTCATATGAAAGAGTCGGGTGTTCTTTAACTTCTTTTGAATAGTATGTACTGTAAATCTAGAAATTAACGTTAGAGTTATTTATAAATGCAGAGTAGACTTATTTAATTAAACTTTGCATTTATATCTCAGAAATGACTGTTGATAAGACATTCACATTCACACTGCACATATTGAATAGCGGAAATACCAACTTGAATATAAAACCAAACAACTTTCTCATTCCACATTAAGGTTTACTGAGAACAATATGTCATTCAAACGCTAGAAATTACATAATGGACATCCGGTAGTATTACCGTTGCTGGGGTGAGGTCTTCCAGTTTGATGACATCTACTCCGCAAACATAATAAACATTGATATAACATAAGTGTTGTTTTTAGGAAAACACTATTGTTTTTTAGGAAGTACACCACTCAGCGCTAATAAGCGGTGTTATTTGCTTTTTGTTTTGATACCTAGGCCTGGGGGCGCGGGATCCAATGAAACTCCTAAATGGAGCCATAAATCAATCAAATACTTTCTTACGCACACATCAGTGGATTGTTATAAAAGCACCTGCGTCTGTACTGTTAAATTATGTTTAAGTAGATAGTGAGAACATTTCAACATTCCCTCCATATGTATAATTTGAAATGTGACTGGAAAAATCTCAGCTCTCTTTTATGATTAAAACCCACCTCAGCCTCCGCCCACTGAGGTCAGGTTTCACAATTCATTAATGTTGTTTTACGTATATACTTTTTATCGTATAGACACACATAACACATGCGACCCCCATAGTGGCCAAGAGGGAATATTGCTATACCGCGAGAAAGCGATAGAGCGATAGAGTAAGAAAGCGAGTAGTATAGGTAATGGGGGTTCTGGCTCACTTCCACTGGAGCAGGATTCATATACCTATACTGCCACTACAGAGGGAATTTTTTATGCCAAAATGATGATGCGATTCAACGATAGTCATGAGATTAAGTTAAATTGACTCCAGCTCACCACCACCTGGAGTCTATGATACATTTTTTTTTATAGGTAATGGGGGTTCTGGCTCACTTCCACTGGAGCCAGATTTATATACCTAAACTTCCTGTATACTGGTTACGAATTTGTCTGGCTAATTCGGGATCCGTTATCATATCGTACTCCAGCGATATATTGTCAATAGAATAGCTAGCACCTTCACCACCGGTTCTGATTACCCTGTCGTAGTCATTAAAAGTGAGTTCGTATTCTAACCTATCGCCTAGGGATGCTTGATAAAAGGGCATGTGGGAATCTAGTAATTCAAAGTCTAGGGGAATATAGAATCTGTTACCTAATGCGTCGGCAACGGCCTTATCTTTTTCGTTGGTATCAACACCATTTTCAGCACCCACGCGCAGTCTCAATGTGTTCTTATTACAAATACCTTGGTACTGTAAGTTTTCCCGCTCTTTATCCGTTCTCCAGAGATCCATGTAACAATAGTGTACATCGCTGTCGTCGATACTCAAAACCTCATTACCGCTAATTTTAATCGCGATTTTCTTAACGATAGCACGACCTATGTTCTGAACGGGCTCCCTGTTAACGTCGGTAGAAGTCAAACTAATCGTAAACGCTAGTCGGACAGTTCCCGGAACTAACACATCGTGTGCGCCGAGATTAGGAAAGCGAACCAGAAGCGTTTGATTCTGATCGATGGTACTAGGGTTATTAGTTATAGTTACAGACTGAC